TTTAATTGCACAAATGAACAGTAAATGCTTTAATCACAGGTGTATCAACTGATTTTGTAATATTTAATCGAATAGCATTGATTAATTGTGGACCTACATTCCAAACATCAATTTTCTTATTTCCAATACTTGTGCCTTGTGCAACTGTCATCCATTGATCAGTATGTGTTGCATTAGCTAATTGTATATCAACAGTATATGCTCGAATAACTTGACCTTGAGTTTGATCTTCTTGGATAACTGATCGATCAACAGTGACTGGAAATGAATCAAATAATAGAATATGTATAGTTGAATCATCAAATGTGACATGTTCAGTGGGTGAAATCGAAGTACCATAACAAGAACGAATGAAATCTCCTAATTCTTTATAACGCTTAGCATGAGCTATTGGAATAAGGCCAGTTCGATCAGGAGAAAGATCAAGCATTAATATGCAATTTCGACCAACAGTTTCATGATAAACTTGAATTAATTCTGAAAGTGGACGAAGTGTTGCATTAACACCCTAGATAATAGTTTATTCGAGAGAGAAAAACATGATATTGATTATTTTTAATTTAATCATACCCAAAACCATCGATCATGTTCTTGAAGAGTTGTATCACATTCAGCAGGACAAAATACTGAACTATCTGGATCACCACCATCATTTGTTATGCCTGTTGACCAATTTGGATCAGGTGCAACACCCATTTCAGTACCAATCCATCGAGCAGGATTTGGTGATACACCATAACCATTAAATGCAATTGCTTGAGGTTGAAGTTCAGCTAATAAAGCTGTTATTGGCGCTTCCATCTCCATTGTATATCTATCAAAATAACTATTTAATTCAATAACTTTTTCTACATGAAACTAACCCTCCATCAAACCAAATTTCTTCTAAAGTACCATATTTAGTCCAAATTTCCGTTAATTGTTGTAATACAATATTTTGATAAGTTTCTTGTGTAATATTTACTTGACCTGGCTGTAATGTAGTATTTTGAATCTGAATATAATATAAGGAACATAGATTAGTGTACAAAAAGAAAATGAACTTACATAACCACTTTCAACATTAAACCAATTATTATTAACAACTGTATAATAAAATCCAGTTCGTATGTGTTTTTTTTTCACAACTTGCAATAAATTCTCCAAGTACATCTCTACCTTTCATTGGTGAATAATCAATTGAATACGTATATGGAACTAGTTGACCAGAAGGATTCGAAGGAAATCTAATCTTTGTTGGTGCCATATGAAATCCACAGGCATGCTAATATTATCGATAGAATGAAAAAGTATAGATATATCAAGCGAAATAAAATAATCGAATTTTTACTTTAGCAACAAGTACAGCATATTGAGCACCATAATCAGTCATAGTTTGAACCCAATTGTCTGTATTTAATAGATATGGATTGAATAAAGTAATATTTGGAACCATCTGTCCAGAACATCCGTCAACATCAATATATGTTGCAATATTAAAATGAATTAATACACCTAATTCTTGAGCTTGCCATTGAAGTTGTTCAGATGCTTAATATATGAAACATATATACACTCTATGATATAAAATTAGTAATTTACTTACTGGGTAAAGCAATTTGTACACCAGTTTTTGGTGAAATCCGATATTTTCCTGATGGTGATGGAGCGCGTCCGTGATATCGATG